TCCAATTCCTGGTCGACTCACATGATTTATTCATTGTTATGGTTTCAATAACAGTTGTTTCAACAGTCATGTATATGAAAAACACTTACCATTCTTTTCTAATTAACTCACAACGGTGTTCAAAGATTTGTCAAAAGTTAAACGTATGCGTGCTTGGTAAACACGCCCTCCCGTCGACATAAACTACAGCATTTAAATTTGAAATATGCTTTTCGCGAGATCTCTCTTTAAAAAAAAGGTTGGTCAGGTGGTTACCAATTGAACTTAAAAAGGTCCTGATCAATTTTTATGTGTAATTGCTGGAATCCTTCATTATTCAATTGCTTCAAAATAATAGAATAGGTCAACAAAGACTGTTTTTGTTTGAATTTAAATATAATAGAGGATAGAAAGAGAAGCATTCAAAAATGTAACGTAAAATTTTTCAATTCTTTTCTTTCAACTAAAGCTTTGGGTTAGATTTTTTAACTAAGCGTTGGGATCGAAGGACATTATTTTTCAATCACCAAAGCTTGCATAGGACACAGAATCTTGTTATGTGGTTCATCGCAATTTCAAAGCAAACAAAAAATTTCGTATCTTTCGCCATATTTTAACAAATAAAGACCTCTTGAACTCAAGGAAGAGTGAAAGCACCAGAATTATGTAACTGATTTTCTGTGTTCGACCTTTCGTTTTTTGCTTAGTTTAGTTTTCGTGTTCTACTGGCTTTTGTTAATTAGTCTCAAATTGTGTACTTTGTCTCTTTTGTTTTTTTGCTTTTGATGGCTGAGAATAGATATGGTGCGTTCAGAATAGATGTGTGAATAGATAGGGTGAAACAAACTTTTTATTAAATATTTCGTTACTGCAAATTTACGCGGTCATCAAATGTCGCTTAAACATGGAAAAGACAAAAGGGAAGAACGCTCTTTAAACGTCCGACTTTCCAAGCACAGTCCCCTATTTCGAGAATCTGGAATAATTTCATGCAGCTACATGTTTGTTTTGCTTTAGGGAAAAATGATGAAGGTTCTTCCCATGCCAGCTGCTTAGAAAATTTTTGAAGGCGAAGCAGTGCACAGGAAAGAACCATTTGGATGACTAAGCGAAAAAAAAAACACATCTAAGGCGGAATAAAGTTTTACAAAATGAGTCAGCCGATTTCTGGTTCACTAACAAGAGTAATCTGTCGCTCCTATCCCGTTTTTAAGTTATAGGAATATTTATTTAGGTTAAGTGCTAAAACTTTACACACATTCTAAACTGATTTTGCGTCAGTAACACTTTTTAAGTGATCAAATTCTTTAAAGGAAACTCGTGCCCATCAAAAGGGTTAGTTCGTCAATACTCCGTTCGTTTTCAAGAGAAATTGCAAGACATACGTAAGGAGAATCAAACATTTCATCGCTTCATCTGTCGGTCATCAAGCCACGTTTAAAGAAGCAAAAGGAAGAACGAAGGAACGAAAGACAGCTTCTTTCACCTCCCACACACAGCGTCGGGATGCAGGCATAAATCTATGCAGCTACGTTTCGCCAGGGAAAAACGGGAAAAAACTGCTTCCTATGCCAAGAGGTTAAAAAGCGTTTGACCGTGAATCAGCACAGAGATGAGGACCAATTATGCGCATGAGGAAAAGTTGCTTTTTTTAGACTTTATTTTCACTACTGCTTATGTAGTGTTCATTATCGCGAAAATCACTCTCACCTCATCCATACTGTTTAAGCCAATTTACCGTCTGAGTCAATCTCTATCCTGTTATAAGCTTGCATGAAAACAAGCATATTTATGAACATAATCTTCGACAATGATTATCAAGTAGATGGACCTTAGAGAACTAAGGCTACAACGTCACTTTCTTTAGTCGAAAATTATAAAAACATATACGGAGACCACAAAAAAAAAATGAATTCGCATAACTGAGCAAAAGCAAAACACAAATAGACCACTAATTAAACTTCATGAAATGAGTCAGCTGATTTTTGGTTTACTGACGTGAGAAACCGCTCGCATCTATCACGTTTTAGGGCATCATATTGATCCTCTTTGGAGACTCAAACTTCAGAAAGACGAGGTACATTTAAAGCTGATTTTGCGTCATTAACAATCGTTAAATTGTTATAAGAGAGACACGCATGCCAACCATATAAATCAAGCAAAATTTTTAAGGATAGGATTCTTCATTACTTCGTTTAGCTTCCAGGAAAAAGAATTGTATATAAAGTTCGGTTACCTTACAGGAATAAGACGGTAGTTTGATTCTTCTGAACGTTTTGGCAACTTCCATACTTGTGACGAGTCAAACCATTACGTACATGAATTCCTTTAATTTTCATAATTCCAAATTAATTTGCGGAGCATTATTTAAGCTGTCAAATCTTGTGGTTAGCCTGACCACGAGACCGCACAACAAGGAAACACCTGCTTGGAGGAACATGACTTTTGGCACGTTCCAGTACCACATTACTTACGTGTTACTCTTATCCTCAATGAACTTAATCCACTTAAGCCTGCTGGCATTTTTATTTCAAAATTGATGATGCACGAACCTAGTTTCTGTAAGAGGCGGAAAAGCTAATCCATTACAGTAGACACATCTAAGAATAATAGACAGCCGAGTCTAAGGATTCTGGTTGCGGAAAAAAAGGGTCATTAAAATGCTAATAATGCACTCAGAAATACTTCATTTATCATGGAACCCCAAAAATCAGTCAGTTGTTTTATTTGATAAATCGTGATCACATCAAAACTGTAAAATCTTTTTCTCCTTAAAAAGTAGCAAAGCAACAATTAAATAGTGACGAGCTGGCAAGAAATATAACAAAGAACAATTCTCATTAGGCTTATGGGCGGCAAAGATGTGACGCGTTTGTGGGGGAGTTAATGACATAAATTGAGCCAGATGAAAATTGGCTAACGAATTCAAAACTGCAATTGGTCAAGATCAGAGCATACGATAGCGATGCGGCGAAGTATTGTAGTAGCGTCGATTAATGAAATTTATGGCAGAGGAGGTACAAATTCCAACTACTGTCGTTTCAAAGGAAATTTGTAAATGGATGGTTTCTTTGTGGGCTATAATGGGTAATGTAACCACTACCTTTGTATCTATTCCACTAATTGGCCACACCAACTGAATTCTATTCATCTGTTATTCCATTAAATTGTCTCAAACCCACGCAGACGCCTCATATCGATCTCTTTTAGGTGATATCCGGCCACAGGAAACCTGATCTTTAATCTCATTTTCATCAAATAGTTTTATACAAACAACAACATTGGTAATGAATCAGCATTGCTTTAAAACCATGAAACTATTCCTGTAATCGTTGTTTGATAAAAAATCAATCCCTGATTCGCATGAAATAGCTGAAAAAGAAGCATCTCCTTAGATGATGATAACACGAGCATAGGTTTCAATGTTGTTTCAGTCTGCATAAAAAGGTTTTCAGGTTTAAGTTATCTTTGGTGTTGAACCACTTCAATGAACACGTTCCGTGTTGAGCCTTTCGTTCGCCATGTTTCCAGAAAGGCCGCAATTAATTTGAAGGCTTTTCTAACTAGATAGAGTAAAACCCTTTGTAAAAATCTAGATAGCTCACAGTTATTTACAAATCTGGTTATTAGAAATTTTGTTATTTACTCCGACGACTACAGCTCACCCTTTGTGTTTTTTTTTTATTAGTATTATTTTCCTCTATATTGTACGAAAATCAAATGGCGCGCGAAGAGTAATGGTAACATAGAGAAATTAAGACATTTCGTATAGTTCGGATCAGAATTTTGAGATAAATAATAGTCCATCCACGATGCAACTGCATTTAACAAAGTTTAACACAACTTAAGGACACCAATGAATTTGTAAAGGAGAACGAAGTATCAGAAGAGAGACAAATAAACTCAACCATTGATAGCCGCGCAAGAATCGACCGTGGCGAGCGTATAGTCTACTTCATATCCTGATTTAGCCCTGTTCCTGTACCATCTATTCCCTATAACTATTCCATTTCAAAGCAAACAAAATGACAATTGACATTGCTTAAAATGATCGTATCTTGAAGTTCATGTTACTATTTTAAAGAATTTTGGTTTTTAAATGAGCTTTACAGGCGAGTTGGCAATTACGATGCACCTCATTTATCGTTCATCCGTCTCGAGTAGACACATCAACTCTGTTTTTTTAAATCACCAATAAACTGCAGTGTCAAACAATTTTCACTATATGTTTAAGCCAGTTTGCTCTTGTTGGGGCTGAATAATGTGTTACATGCTTCTGGTAATAGGAAATTAAAATTTCAAAATACTCTGTCATAAGCCTCTAATAACTTTAATTTTACTTATTCAGCGATTTCAACCATATATAGCAACAATTCAAGTAAACAATAAAAATATCCTCTGCCAAAAATGAACTCTTAACAAACTTTGATACGCAGGAATTATTACATTCATTTAAGTGTTTTCTTCTGTTCCTTGGAAAAGACCCCAAGTTAGTGGACCTCGTCTAGTTGCCAAAGGAGAAGGAAAATGTTTAAACCTTGGGTTCAAAGTAACTAAAAATATATTGTAAAAGATTAATATTGTTCAAAGTCAAGTAATAATAATCATTACCATAAACAGTGGCCAAAGTACATAATAAGCAAATGTTCAAAAGCCCTCCCTTCCAAATAACTCACCGAATAAAAGGCTTCAAGAAAGTGAAGTAAAAGAACAGAGCGCATTTAGCCATTTTAGTATTTCTTTATTACCGTGATCCTTCTGCCGTCTAGGCAAAGAAGTTTAACAAAATCACGCGGCAACGGCAACGGCAACGTCACTAAACATGAGGTTTACTTAGCAGAACAATAGCTGTGCACGTGCGTTCTAAATCTTTGTAAAATTTTTTGCGTCCTCAGCAAAACAACAACACGACATGACCAACCTTCGCGTTGAAAAACACTGTGTTACATATTTGGTTTCGAGATAGTTTTGACAGCGAGAAACAAACTACATGACCTAAGAGTATCGCGAGGATCGTAGATAAAACATAAGTTCATTTGTTAAACGACGTTGTCCAAATAAGTTCTATGTCAAACGCGTGTGAATTTACAAATTAAAAAAACGTTAATCCCCCGAAATTCTTACATGTGATTAAAAAACAATTCCAGTAATTTTCTAGAAGGAAGACGTTTCTAAATTACCGGGAACCGCAGCGCAATCTGCAATCTTGGAAAAGGGAAGTGATTGGTTTTTCGTGGAAGAAACTTAGCCTTTTGCATGGAATGATCCCTGATCAAGACTGAATCGAGCTCCATTCCCTCTCAAATGAATTTGCCAAAACGTTTTTACAAATTACAAAAAGGATGCTTAAAAAAACATCCAGAATTATGAGAAATATAACATTCCATTCGATTTCTTTCTGATAAAATTATCGCCAAGATTCTACTAGAAAGTTTTGCTTTTTGCGATAAATCCATGAGCGATCCGGTTTGATGCAGTTGCCGGTAAACCAATATCGTCAGCTGATCTAAATGATCAAAGTTCTACGTCCTCTGACTAAGGGTCAATAAACACGACAAAACTTGTTCACAAAATAATGGACAGTTTCCATTCTTATTGTGCAGAAGCCTGTTTGCTTATGAGACCAAGACTCGAATACGTAGCTTTTCCATCAAGCTTAAACATCGCGATGATGTCTCTGAAAGAGTCATTTACTCTTTGGAAATTGCAATAGTACTCTACGATTATATTTGAACAGCACCAGTCAGGTGCATGTTTGGATGATTGGGTGCGCGTGAATCCCAGATACCCGCTGGAATCAAAACCGTGACGATGACGAAATTTGTCTTTGCAGCGTACATTTGGAAGGAACCATTTGCAATAAAACTGGAATAAATGTTTGACAGCTTTACATGTTGCTTGAAAGTTAATTTTAAGGATTTCTGTTTTTGATTTTAAAACTAATAAAGAATAAATGAACTAAGAAATGCACTTGTGATAGGCTCTTGAAGGTTGTCAATCATTTTAAGCAATGATTGATTTAGGAAAACAAGAATTGGCCCTCAGAAGCGGGGTAGAATTTTTGTTTAGCACCAACAACTCACTGAATAACACAAATTATATCTCTCTTAGTATTTCGTAAAATTGTACAGTGAAAATGAATGATTTAAAACAAAGATTGCCATTCTTACATCTGAATTATCAATCGTGCAAATCGAGACCAATAACTTTCGGTAATTCTATTATTTGTTACTTTTAATGAGGTTATTATTGAAATCACTGGTCTGAATATTAGATGATTTTTTTTAACTGGCGTGAAGATGATGAAGCAGTTTATTTCTAGGTTTCTTGACGAATACACAGTCATACTGATTAATCATACCGTCACATTTATTGATATTTAAACTTTTGCCATCGTACGAGCCTCTCAAGGCAGAAAATTGTTTTCTTCGTAGCAAGTAGTATTTCTTTTAATTCCTAGGCTTAGGACGGATAATGAAAGGAGCGTATGAACTAACTCTCTTTCCTTTGAGGACAATAGAATTTACAAATCTTAGATTAATTATTTCTACAGGAAAATCGTAATGCCTATTCAAATGTAAATGAAGCTGCAAACAGTGACTAAGCGAAATCTCTCATAAGTGATCAGTAGGTCAGGCATAACAGAGATTACGTAGAAGTTTTCATTAACTGGGCCCCTTTTGAGGCTTGAAATATAAAAAAGACCCAACAAAACATCAAAAACGTTGTCAGATAACTTGAAAATAGGAAAACAACCTACCAAAACAGAAGGGAAAAAGCTCTAATAATTTATAGATCGAACAAGTAATTCTAACTAGTTTTTCTGTTTATTATAAACGTTTTACATTTCTGTTGCCTCAAACGGCGAAGGAAAATGAAATTGGTTAATGAAATCTCTTTCCTCTATATATCGATCGCATTCAAACTGGTTTTAATTCTCTTAAGCCCGATTACAGTGGCAATCTCGAACAATCCAACGCAATGCAGGAGTCATTCACTCCGAGAGGAAAAGCGCAACTTTACAAATTCTAGCGAGGAAAAACGACCATCCGTTGGAAATGTTGCATTTCTATCATTTTCTCTTAAACAAAATAAACATGCAAAATCCACTTCATTACAAGAAAGGATGTAACGGTAACAATGATTCGGTGAAAAGGAGACGAGTCACGATATCTAATTGCATGAGTCAGGAATTTTTCAGCCAGTGCCATTTTAAAAAAGTCTTTATTAACTTTGAAATTAGAAATTTAGAAACCTGACCATTTGACACACCTTAAGTTTTAATTCCAAATTTTTTCAATCAGCTTTTTAAGATTTTTTATTATTTCCTATTGAATTAAAAGAAAGATAACTTTTTTATATTTCTGTTTTGATGTGATAAACAGGGATCAATATAAAGAAGCTTTCCCTTTAATCCAAGGGAATGGCTCGATAAGGTTTACTTTCAGGGGGAGAGAAAGGGGGCCGTTTCATTTGTTTTATCCTCTAGTTTTTCTCATTTTTCTTACTCTTAAAGGGAGATTAGTCATGTGTTATTTCTCTTTTAGAAAATACTGTGAAACTTTTGTGGTTTTGAAGTTTGAGGTTGTGAATGAAGTATTTTCCCAGGCTTTAGAGTAATAATTTCTGCCAAAATATACGCTACAAATATTAGAAATGTTTTTCAAATAAAGATTCTAATTAAGAAAAAAAAAACCAACCAGGGATAGACCTATCCTCTAAGTACCCAAGAGTCTCACGAAAAGAAGCAAATAAAAGCGAGAGGAAAAGAATTTCAATCAAACTTCGGATTCCCGAACCTATGACGTCAATGTACTCGGCAGAAATATTTCCTGACTGGCCCACCCAAATAATTAAAGCATCGAAAATTAACTTTTGCACGAGCCTCATGTTAGAAATCTCAGTGAGGCCATGAATTTTCATTTCGTTTAACGGTTTCTTCTTGTGTTCTTTACTTAACATTTGGCGTCATAAGCACCACTCAGCGCTACTCAGCAAAGGCCACGCGCTAAAGAGATGTTTACTAATATAGAACACGTGAATTCGAAAGTACAAAAATATGCAATCTATGTTCTAAAAGCGATCCAATTAAAATAACACATTTTCATTTGCGAAAATGGTGAGAAAAACCCAACCCAAAGAACCAAAAAATGACCTATTCAACTACGGTACCCTTTGCCCACGCAATTTAATATTTCAATTCTAGCTTTCAATGAAATTTTAGCGCTAGGAGTGAAATTCGAGGAATATCACCGAAATCTTGCAAAATGTCATGAACAGTGCGTTAAAAATAAGTCATTTGTTTGATTCATTGCTCAATATTGTATTTCAGAATGGATAAAATATCGAGGAAAGAACCCAGAAATCTAAAATGGTCCTACTTGACCGCAAAGTAGCTTGCCCACGGCATATTCATTCCAAGCCAAGCCATTCCAAGAAACATATCTCAGACTTGTCATTACGAGTCTAATTTGGTCCTGAATCGATTATTATCCACTTCATAATCAGACAGGAAATTTAAAAAAAAAAAAAAAAAGCTTAAATTTGCTTGTGCTCAACTATCAAAGTGTACGCTCAGAATTATTTTCTTAATGCTTGATAAACCGCGCAGAATAATAAATACCCCACAATATGAGCAGTCGCCCGTTTATAGTAGAAAGTATGGCAGATGGTTTTATAGATTACCCAGAAAAGTTATCCGTTCCCCAAGATTTATTGAGGTCGCCGCAAAAATGATAAATGCGTGCGCAATTAGACATTAATGAAGCATTTGCGTGTTAGCAGTTAGAACACTCCTGTAATATGACGTAATGCTCGAACAGGAAATAGGGATCACTAAATCGCGCGTGGCACAAAAGATCCATTTATGGTTGTGTGGGGCTTGTTCCGGTTCCTTTTTACTTTAAATACTATTTTACTTTCTCAGTATAGAAATCAAAAATGAAAAAAAGAAAACAAACGCTTTTGACGGTCTAAAGCAAAAAGCAAAAAACGTGTTTGGCGTAAACAACACAATATTTTATGCATCAAGAATTCTTTTGTGAAAAATTAGTGTAGACAAGTAATCTTAAGTACGACCAGCGTATTCAGATAATGCTCAATCGGCCAGCTCAAAAGATGGAAATTCATTCGATCTTTTTGCTTCTTCCTTTTAAAAATCTTGCCTCTACCGAAATTCGACCCCAGGTCAACAACTCTGATTATTCTCCCGTAATTCGTGGAGGGTCCGTTTTTGATATTTGTGTACTCCAAGCATGGATTCCTTTTTTGTTTTTCAATCACGCACTCAGTATGCAAATTAGTTCGTAGTGACGCATACACCCACGCCGCTCGTAACGATAACATAAAGGACGACCACAGCAATTTTTCGAAATCATTTGGAGGCTCACGCCATGGCGGACAAAACTATTCTGACTGCGAATGTAAGTGGGACTGTCGATCCAAGAGATGGTGGCAAGGATCCAGAGGTAAACTGCTCACAATTCCTTTCCAAAATATTTGACATCGCGACATTGAAATAGAAATTCCGATAGACTTGATGAAGGTTTACGAAACAATGTGTGTTTTAAGTAGTGTATCTGTTAGTAGAGTTATTTGTGGAAAAGCTATCATCGTTAAGCCATAAAAAAGGTTATTCTAATCGTGTTCAGCATTTGAAAATGGCGAAGAATTCGGAGATTTATGCATCAGTCATCTCGTTACGGTGAATATCAGAAATCTTTCATACCTGAGGGTTTAGTATGCGGCAATTTTTCATTTAGGAAGTCGCTCCGGAAAGAGGGAAAATGCTAGAAAACTAACAATTCTGCGTCAAAATACTTCCTTGTATTTTGAAAGGGAACATGTATGGAATGATGAGTTACAATGATTAGCAGAAAGCGGGAAGGATTTGAAAATGTCCGAACATTTTGGGGTAATTTGGTACGCCTGCAGTTCAAATGAAACGATACATGATGTGCTAGGTTAATAATCTCCATAATTATTTTTAAAAAGTTGTACTTCTTGCCCTTTTTGCTTACAAATAGCGGTGTTTTACCGTAACCGTGTGGTATCACTGCTAGCTCATGCTCCAGAGCGTAGATCGCTATTCACAAGGTGCTGGTTGATTACTAATTACTTATCAGTAAGTCCGTCACTAATTTGCTCCAACTTAGATACGAAGCGCTATGATTTACACACTGTGTGAAAGAACAAGGCTGATTTTAAAAAAATAAGATTTGCAATCATTAGTGAACCACGAGCTCTGTGAAAGGGATACTAGTATGCAAATAAGTACACATACTCAAGAGGATTCAATCTAGGTCTGGTTTCTTGTTTTTGCAGGCCTATAAAATTACTGTCGTTTTCTGCGACGGTACCAAGACGGTTTTACGAAAGAAATACGAAGAATTTGTCGACTTGCAAGTAAGTTTCATGATTTTTTGTTACCGGCCCACACACAAACAAACTAACAAAAGCCTCTTCAGTAACATTGTTCACCCAAACCGTTAAACGTAAATCTTATCAAAAAGGATAAAATTTGCATAGGTATTTGAAGCGAGACGATAATACTGTCTTTCTTTCTGGCCAAAAATTTAAATAAAAAAATCCAAAAAAACAATCTTATTTCAGTGACAGCGGAAGACTATATTGTTTTTCTTTCAAGCCAAAGAATTAAAAAGAAAAACACTAAAACAGTAAGACGCAATCTTATTTGGTTAAAAACCGCACATCCGTATTCATTGCGAATGAATACGTGGCAGTATTTTTGGATTTTTCCTTGTTAAACTGATAATATTTGAGCACAAAGGCGTTCATTCATTTTCCTTTAGATACAAGGAATAAACAACAAATCGAGGCCGTTTGAGAGACAGCTTTTGTTTTGCTTTCTCGCAAAATAAATCTAACAAATAGTCACAAAAACCAAAATCAATCGATATTGACGTTTGGCCCGTAAACAAAATCCACTAAACACAATACAAACTTCTGATACTTCAGGATTTTATCGATAGGTTAAGGTGTACGAGTTGCTAAAAAAGAAAGGTGGCTACTCCAGGAAAACATCGAGGACTCTCGTTTCTAGCTTGCCAGGTGCGTATTGGTAATATTTGGGACAAATTGGTTTTATCATCCAACGAGTGCCTTCCAAAAGTCTATGGGTTATTTTCCTTACCTTGCGGATAACAGAAATTTTAACCAATCAAAATATTTTGCATTACAGAAAACAACTCAGCACTGTCCAGAATTCTTTTTAAGGATGATAATTTGAAGAAGATGGGAAGAATAGACGAGTTTATGAAGGTAATATTTCTAATCATCAATTTATAAATGTGGCTTATTTTCACCATGACTAAACTTGACACGAAAATCACACAGCCAAGTCCAATGTTTTACGGTCCTTTTTCCTTTTCTCTTAGGAGCTATTAACCCTTCCAACATCTGTGAGAGATTCAGAGGCTATAAAGACTTTTTTTGGTTTCTTCGACGAGCAGCAAGGAAAAGCAAACAGGCGAGTACCTCTGTACTGTGAAGCATGAGGTTGGGACGTTGAGAGATAACTATGGATCTTATGTATTGCAGATCCCGTGAGGAAGAACTGAAGAAGGTGACCAAAGTTGCTGAAATACTTAGCGGTAAGGATAATAACAAACTTCCATGGTCCTTTAAGCAACGACTCTTTCACAACACATCTACAATCGTAAGGGCATTGGCAACCAATCTGTCGCCCTAAAAGAATAAGATCAGTGATATTACTTCTAGTAGAGTAATGGATACCACTCCATTACTTCATGAATTTTTCAAAGGAAATCCCTTCTGATATTTGCAGGAAGAGATCCACTTAGGAATCTGCCCAATCAAAGTCCAGTGACAAAGCGAAAATCAAATCACGATTCCACTTGGATGCCAGAGGATTTGAGTATGCTTAGTGAAGAGGCGAGAGCTCATCTTTATCAAAAGCTGAACAGACTTAGCGAGAGGCGTCCAAGCAAAGAGATTCCATCTCTACCCGGCGGTAAAATAAGAGCAGTCTCCGTTGATGATGACGTTCTGGTGAGGCCAAAAGGACCTCCAAGACCAGGCCTGACAAGGAGGCCAATCAGCGTCCCGGTGGGATTAGCCAGCATGGTTAGGGAAAGCGATGAGTTAAAGGAAAACCGTCCAAGCACTCCCAAACTTTTAAAAGGTAAAGTTCCTTCGTTACAAACTCTCAATGAATTGAACAGGCAAGACTCTGGAAGCGAAAGCAGCATCTCAGCACTAACGGACACGTCAGCCATTGACTCTGAGTTTTCCGAAGTAGACGAGCCACGCTCAAGAAAGATATCAACCCAATCTAGTGTGAGGAGTATTCAAGGTAGGACAAGCCCAAGCAAGAAAAAGTATGTTGCTACCTCAGCATTCATTGCAGAAGGAACTGGTGAAGTTTCCCTGGAGGAGGGTGAAGAAGTCGAGGTCCTGCAGAAAGAATCCAGTGGTTGGTGGTATATAAAAAATGACTTTTGTGAAGGATGGGCACCAGAGGCATTTCTTGCACCATCTCAAGGATCAAGGTCTTCATCTCCTGGGTCCCAGGTTCCGCCCCAGAGTTTGGGAAGCCAAGATCAATCAAGTGAAATAAGGTCGAGGATGGAATCGCTTTCAGAAAGCCCGGATGTAAAAGAGGAGGAAGTTGATCCCCAAATAAAAGTGAAGGTAAGTAAGCGTCGAACTGATGAATTTCACACTTATTTTGCTTTTTCAGATCTGTTCAATCTTTCTAGGGTAAACATATGCTTGTATAACTAAATGGAGAAACGAATATCCTCGTGTGATTTTTGTCAAAGTTTAATTTCCATGTTAGATCCTTTTTCTCTCTCGTTCAGTGAGAATAAATGTTGTTTGAAAATTGCAAGTTTAGGAACCTTTTTACTGAGCAGAAATGTTTCCTGATACAAACGACATCAAGGAGAGTAAAAGTAACTGAGTCGTCAATGATCACGCAGGATGCACGTGTTCAGCTTCAAGCTTCATTGTCTATTTTCAATGAAAGACAAAAGCCTATATATTGTACATGATTATCGATCCATAAATAACAGGACTTTGAAGTCATAATATAGGAATTCAATGGCTAACATAGCGAAAGGAAAAACAACTAATGTATGTTAAAGCTTTTGTGATTAAAGAATTGTAAAGCATTTTAGCAGCAGCTCCTTAGCTCTTGAGAGATGCTTGATTCACGCTAAATTTCTCACTGGTAGTAGTTAGATGATGCCCTCAAGAAAAACCTTCACTAGGATGCGTTCGAAGGTTAATCAAGTCGAACAAAGAAGTTCCTAAGAAGTAGCAACGGTCACGGTGCCCGAGAATTAAACAAATAAACAAACCAATAACAAGTCAAAAAAGGTGGTCTTAGATTATGTAATAGCATTGACGCCATTTCCTTATCACATGAAGTGACGCTGTACAATGATGGTGCAGTCGACACTGATATTAAAGACCTCTCCATTTTCCGTTTCCTAGTCCTTGGAACGTCACGTGGAAAGAGGTTCTCAAAAGAAGCAGGTAGAAATGAATCGACGACCCAAGTTTCTCACTATTGAGGGAATACAGAAGCGAAAAAACCCAGACAAAAACTACGTAAGTGTTTTGGTCTTTTCTTTTCAGCTGTATTTGTTATTTTTAATCTTTGATTTACCAAGAATTATCAATGAGTCCGCAAGGATCCCAAAGTAGGCCGGTCGGGACTCAATGATAAGTAACAATTCGCACGATTTGGTAGTTATTAGTGGCCAGATGTCAAACTGTGTAAGGTGAAGTTAAGGAAGGAAGTAATTTGATCCATGTGGAAACTTCATTTAACTACAAATAACCTTCTGAAAATCTTACTCTAGTTTCAACTTGTGTTTCACTAAAGATGACGTACTCCAATAATTTCCACTGTTAAGCACAGTATCAAATTGAATATCTCGAATTTCTCATATTTTGCATTTTTCAACTGTTAATTGCATAGCTGTTAAATAAGAATACTACATTGACAAACTTTCCAGGATTTTACAATTCAAACATTTCCTAATTTCAACGATAAAACCATCTTGCGTGCAAAAAATTTTGTCGATGACGACTAATTGGCAAAAAGCCTCAGCCTCAGTAATGCTCAAAAATAATGACATGACATGAAAATCAATATAGATGTGGCTTTAGCGGTAACACTAGAACATCGTCAATTTCTTTTTTTTCCTCCATTTACGAGGGAAACGAATAAAAATAGTAACACGGCGTGTCTGCGCGCTTTCCTTGTCAGGTTTACATCCTCAAAGTGGTTTGGTCAGACGGAAACATCAATATCATCTACAGAACTTGCAGCGATTTTTTCTTTCTTCAGGTAAGGCAAGAGAAGATTAGGACACCCTTACAAATCTGAGTTTTTTTTTTTGTTTTTTTTGATACGGCTTATCTTTCATTGTTAGTGTAAGCCAATGAAGATATTGCCTCTCTGCGGGCTCTCAGAAACAAAAGCTTTACGCAAATCACTTTGTGGTTTGACTAACAAAGGGCATACCAATATAACCACTACACCGTTAAATTCTTCTGATGCCTTGCTATAAAACAAATTAATTACGTTGGAATATTGCCATGTCATCATACATGAGCCATAATTCGACGTCAAATACATCGGTTAGCGTAGCAGGTGATAACTAGCATGATGGACACGCCAGATGAGCGCGTGGGTCAGCCTAGGGGTCTATACAGCAATTTAATTCTAGTAACATTCCAGCGAAAAATCTTCTTTTTTAACTCATTCGCAATCATCTAAAGACAAAGGAGTGAACAAGCCATTCACTACTTATTTGTTTGTTTGAGATAAAGGAGTTGATATCTGCCATATTTTCAAAAAAGCCTCACATAGCAAGAAATAAAAGATATCGAATCGTGCATCAAGTCTTTTATTTGTATTTGTTTTATGACACTTATCAAGATCGGCTTTCCAGTTTATCGATCTACAGGGGGCTATTACCTGCAAATAGGATTTTTCATAACTTTTGTAATTCAATACTCCATGTTCTGCTTTGAATTGTCTTAGGAAAATCTCAGAAAGGAATGTCCGAGTGCCATTGGAAAGGAGATTCCTGCTTTGAAAGGTAAAACCTTACAAAAATCAACTACTATTTTTTGTGGTAATCACAGAAACAAAGATCGTAGTGCCACAAAACAGCATTTTAAATCCAGGAAGAATATTAAGTAATGTCATCTATTCCCTAATGATTCAGAATAGGACAAAAAAATGTTTTAAAAATAGGGATAGGTTTTACACGGAACATGTCAGGATGCAAAAGAATTGCGTGCGTGAGATCCAAGAAATGGTGGGTCTGCTATGAAGCAAGCACAAACAATACGCCCCTTGCACCATAACTGGAGTGTTAATATGTATAAAATGTTTTGTTTCTTCTTTTCTATGTTTTGCAGGAAGAAAATTCACGGAGAACTGCCAGTTCTGCTTCAAGGATGGAACCTGCAAGAGACAAAAATTTATGAACCAGTTTTGCCATGTAAGTTTAAAAGATATTCATGGCGATAATCCATATCTTCTGAAAGACCTTTCCCCGTAAACAAGCACTAGATTGTTCTAATGATTTTTGTCTTACTCTCTCTTAGGAACTGGTCAATGCACCTGACCACATCTCTAGAAGCAACATTGTCATGAATTTTTGCAGGTCTCGACCCAGCGATGTTCTTCCTCATGGAGAGTAAGTAATTTTTTGTTTCTTCTGGTTGAATAATTTTTTTATAGTTGCGCGAAAAAAACTCACTTGACAGATTTCTTTCATCATAAAATAGATCTGTCGATATAGTTTTTCATTTGAAATTTTCGCCAGATCACTTCATTGGTAATTAACATTTATTCTACTTTTATTTGCTATTAGAGTTGGAAAGAAGGATGGAAAGTCCTCGGGCGGTGAGTGAAATCAACGAACGCAAATTTGTCAGAAATACGAAATCATTTGATATAAAACTAAACCACGTCTTCCCAAACTATTTCAGATGATGATGAGAACGTACAGATCTCTGGTCCAGTAGTTTTTGAGCAATATGAAGTAATATGCGATTACAAGAAGAAGAACAAGAATGACATTTCCCTGACAGCTGGAGATGTTGTTGACGTAATTGAGAAGAATGATTATGGTACGTATTCTGGAATTTCACAGCTTTATTTAGCCCGTTATCATCCTCGTTTTGGTGAATATTCTTTTAACCACTCTTGAAACCTTTTTTCAAATCACAAGGGAACCTAGTATCAATTTTGCATTCTCTTCTTTTTTTCCCAACGTTCTTAACCAGCCTTTAACGTGTTCTCCATCATCTTCTTCTCTAACAGTTCAATTTTTTATCTTTTTTCGTCAAGGCTGGTGGCTTGTTGATCGTGATGGAGAGTTAGGATGGGCTCCTGCATCTCATCTTGAGCCCACAGATGATGGGGCAGAGGTTACTTCAGCGAAACACTTTGCACCAGGAAAAGGTACGTTTAAATAGTTAGAATAGATTTGAAATTTAGCAAATGAAGTTGTAGTCTGTAGTTCCCTTGCCAATTACTTTTTCAAGAACTTCCTGCACTAAAAGAACAACGATTAGAGTTACCTCTTCAGCTATTCAAAATGTTGTAATGACATTTTAAATGCGTAAAATTAAACTTTCTTTTATATAATGTGCATAACTGGAGGATTGTAGTGGATTTCAGAGATCTCGATATGCTCATAGAGTCATTAGGTGCCAGCTATGATCCACGCCATAAACGATATAGTAGCACAGGTAAACCTAGCTCAAACTCCGGCCAAACGATCCACGACTATTTAGCTGCCTCTTCCATGGAGCACGTGTTTGATCGATTTGCCAACCCATGTTTTGTACATCAAATGAGATGTTAATCAGGAGTTGCAATAACTTTAAAAAGGGACAATGAAAAAGGTAAAAATCCTAAGTTGATATATATTTTTCTGTTCAACAGAGGAGATCTACGTGTCAATTAAAAGCTATCAAGCTACAGCTGTGGATGAACTGTCTTTTGATGCTGACGTTATGTTAAAGGTGGTTGAGAAGACTCTGGATGGATGGTGGCTCGTAAGGTATCACTCGAATAAGATTCACTGAAGCTCCTCTTTGAGCTCGGACATTTTATTATTTTTTTAATTTTAAACGTTAGTAGAGCGAGTGATGAATTCTCCATTATTTAATTTTTGCTGCTAGGTATCAGGGTGAGGAAGGATGGGCACCTGCCATGCATCTAAAAAGGGTGAATTCAGACGATTCAGCGAATGCGGAAGACAGCACTTTGGATCAATTAAACATCGGCTCCTACGATGAAGGTATAGTTCAACAATTAAGTGTTTTTTTCTTTAAGGTATCTTTCACGTGAAAGATGATTTAATTTTTCAAAACGTCGTCGTAGAAAGAAATATATTTTTAGGCTCCCTGGCCTGATGTAACAGTTTTCATTCGTTAGCATACCGTTTCCGGAAGAAGAAAGTCTCAGAATAAATGCGAAAACCTTTCATCAGAACTTAATAAATCTGATGGTATTTTCATTTATTTATGATAGAGCCTACCAACGATGAAAGCCCGCGAATTCCCCGCACCGCTCCTACTCGCCGAAGTCAAGTAAGTCAGGCTTAAGGTGACTCCTGTTGACTCATAGCCTCTTTAATGATTAATTTTATTATCATTATTTCAACTTTGTTGCTAATAAAGAGCCTCACAGTTCCATAAATGAGAGAAGCAGTAGAAAACTGAGAATATCTGCGTTTAGCTTTATAAGGAAATAACATCTCAGACTCCTTCACCACGTTCGCCCTCATGAAAAATATTTCCGACTTACCCAGACAATCATGAGATGAACAGTAAATAAAAGTTTGTTAAATTGCTCTTCCATAACTGTGCCCTTCAAAGAAGGTATCTCTATTTAAACACGAAAAAAGTCAAGGCAAAAAAGAAAGACGAGTTTTCAGTTTAAGAAAAATAATGTTTACGAAGTATAAGCAAATTAGAGCTTACAGAGGAATCTAATTCCCTTGTTTTTACTATATTTTGCAGGTCCAAAAAACGGGACGAATTAGACAGAAGAGAAACTCCCATGAGCTTAATGGAGTCCCAGAGGAAAAGGACAGTGAAGAAAAATCCACAGAAGAAACACCATCACTGCCAGTACAAGTGAGTAAACCTTCTCTGGCTAAAAGGATTTCGGGAAATAACTTGCCTCTACCAAGATCACCCTCACGACCACTCTCCAGCGAGCTTTCCCATGGAGACGTGGCTCGCCAGTTCTCCATGTCAAGCAGTGGGTACGAAAGTTCTCCAACTGGCAGCCTTACCTCCCTCGTATCTGACGTTTTTCCCGAGGATGTTTCGCCTAGGGGAATGAAGAAGTGCGCAACACTACCACAGTTTGACCACATTCAGGCTCAGATTTTGACCACGCAAAACTCTCCGGAGATTCCACGTTCACGATCTGTAACGTCTATGGCACAATACAAGAAGGAATTAGAGTTGAGTCTCAATGGTGTCCAATCACGAGTCAGAAAGCCCAGCTCAGGAAGAAGCAGCCCTGTTCCCACCCAGAGAAAGATTTCTGCATCCAATAGACTGAGTCCACTAGCTACTTCACCCTCCAGAAGTCGGGAGTTTGGTGCAGCATCGCCTCAAAAGTTGTTGTCACCGAGAGACCCGATGTCGATGATTGACGATGACAACTATCAAAGCAGCGGTTCTGATTACAACAATGGGGATCAAATTGAATCAAGGATGTATAAAGTTATTTATACATACATTGCTCAAGAAGATGGTGAGGTCAGCCTTATCGAAGGAGATGATGTTGAAGTAATTCAAGCGAGCGAAAATGGTTGGTGGCTCGTTCGAACCTCCGAAGAACTTGGTTGGGGACCTTCAAATTTTCTACAAGTGATGACTTGTTAAGCTCTTGCTTTAAAAGGAGAGAAAAAATGAACAGGAAGTGAACTTTTCTACCAAATAGGCCACACGCACATACGGTCGTAAAAAACTATTACTGGGTAGATGTAAAACACCTGTGCTTTTTGCTGGAACCTGAGTGTGTAATATTGCAAAATGCTCATCGCCATACCAAAAGTGAATAAGTCCTTTTCAGTTGATCTTGACCAAGAGAGAAGTGGAGGAAATAAGGCGCAAGTTTTAAACGCAGTTTTTCCTGACCAATACCATAATTTTCTCATTGCCTATTATTCCAATTGGCGTGTCTATTCCGAATCTGACTCTTCTTCTAAAAATTTATAAATCGTGCCACTACTTTAAAAGAGTATTCAAAGGTACTTCGTAAAAGATATCAGTAAACATGAAAAAATGTGCGCGTTACATTTTCCTTTGATACATTTAATACGGAAAAAAAAACATTTCGAAAGGATTTTTTTGCTTATTTATTCTTCACGGATCACAGCTAAAGCGATAAATGATGAGTGAAGACTAGTGTTAAACTGTAGATTACATTATTATTAACTTAAGGAGCCAGTTGATCTTATCACTTGCTTATAGCGAGCGCGTCTTACGAAAACATTGTAAAATAAAACCGGTAGAGCAGAAATACTGTTAAGTAAAGATTGTACAAAACATAAGGCTTACATACTTTATTATTTTGACAAAACAAGCTTAATTGTACGCTTTTATAAAAATATTACACACGGTAATTAAAAAAAAATTAAATTTCTTGTAACTGTTGTAAGTTTTTTTAATAAAATGACATTGTATTATGAAGGAAGCTACCATGATCCTTACTAATCAACTTCATTCGTATAAAATTTAAGTACTTTAATATCAGTTTTTGATAAGCGAAAAACTGAAATTTATATATGAAACAAATGCCATCATTGGCAAAATGCCTTATGCGCTAGCAACTATTATGCTCGCCTCACAAGTACAAAGAAAATTACTTTTCCTTTATTCCCTCCTCTTATGAGAAAAAGAACAGTGAACAAACTGAAAAATATCTGCGAGAAAGGTTAAAGATAACTACGATAATGAATCCCCATTATTTACTGCATTCGAAAAGTACTTGTTCACTAATCAGTGAAATTATTTCAGCTTACTGAGTTAACATCATTGAATTGAAACTTACACTTTGGTAGACATTAACAATGACTTAGGAATCGAATGTCGATTCACCAGAGGGAACCTTACCGAACGATCTATTTATTATCTAGCCGACTACAGACTGTCCCTCAAGAAAATATCTCAAAAATTGAAAAAAAGAATTCAAAGGGTATCATAATCGAAAGAAAGGTTCTAACATAAGAACAGTCCGCTATTCATAATTAGTCTTTTGCTAAAGTCTCTTCGTATGTAAAAGATATACCAATGTTAGGCCTTACGAGGCAGTTCAATTTTTCCGTCTGACTTTTCAATGAGAGAATTCGATATCTTCATCATCGTTGAACTCTTCCAAGTAATTTGAAGGTGCCCAACCTATCTCGCCTTCCTCATTTCGTACACACCACCATCCGTTTTCATTCTTTTGCAATATGCGTAAATATTCTCCACTCTGTAGGTCTATCTCTTGGCTATCATGATCTGCTTTGTAATCATCAACGGCACGACAAGACATCTGAAGCGTGCCTTCTTCTTCTTCTTCTTCTTCTTCTTCAAAATCTTCTTCTTGCAAAGTGCGTTCTGTTTCTCCCCAGACTTGAGGAGCAGGACAAAGTAGGGTAGACGATAACCAGCCTTTCATTCCTGCTTCGTTCTTGACCAACCAGAATCCTGTAGATGCTTTGTCTAAAACTCGGACATACTCACCTTTGGAGAGGCTCATTTCATCGTCAACTTCGTAGTCCTCAATCGCACGATAGATGTTAGATGAAAGGTCATCCTCATCTCCTGGAACGTTTACTTCGATTTCAAAGCTTTCTGTGGAGCGAAAGCTACCATTAAGGCTCATTTTCTCATCGTAGTCAAGAACCTCTTCTGTTTCTTCTCCTTTAGCGCTTAGCTGTCCTGTTTCATCAACAACAATTGCAGGGGAGTGGCTTGTTTTAGCATGCAGAACCACTTTGCTGAGCGACATTTGCGCCAGCTCGGGATCTGATTCGTCGTCACTCGAGCTCAAATTCTGAATTTCCTCATTAAGTTCGACTGACTTCTCTTTCTCTATCCCCACTTGCCGGATGAGTTTCCCACTAGGCGAAGGAGGGAGCCTCTTAGGAGCTGCAGTCCGAGGCGATTCGTATCCTGAGGGCACTGGTGGTATCCTCTTCGGTGAATGAAGTCTTGGAGAGTCTTCGACTACAGCAATTGTTTGGAAGTGCCTCGATGGATCAAGAGGCACTTCGAAATTTATCGGTGTATCGGACAAACTTTGGGGACTTTCTGCATTTTCGGTGGTCGTAGTACTATCTTGTCTACTGTCAGAATAGTCAATGTTTTTATCGTCACCGTCTAGGTCGTGCTGCTGAAGGTTACTTGTGTCGTTCTCGTTTCCACTAGCGGAGTTTGAGTCTTGTGGAGAGAGGTTGTTGAGATCATTTCCTGACTCTAATGTTTCTGTATTTTCACAGCCATTTTGATTTGATTCTGGTATCTCGTGGGTCTCTGGCGTTTGACTTGTATCCATACTTCGACTCTGAGAAATCTCCATAGGCCGGTCGTCATTCGTTGGAGGTTCGGATACCTCTTCAACGTTGTGCAAAGACGACATTAAGGACCTCAGGGATGGGGCAGTCTTATCGGTTGTTTGTGCGTTTGCGTTCCCTCTTGGCTTTTTGTTTCGTTTATTCAGTTGCAAAAAGTCAGAACTTTCAATAATTGTACCATCAGAATCCCCATCGTCTTTTACACCACTAAACCTCAGTTTAGTTTTCTGTCAAACAAAATGATGTCGATAAATTACATCACATGCAATCAGAAGAGAGCCAAAAAAGCCTACTACCATAATTTAAAAGATTAATTAATGGATTAGCAAATGTTATTATCGAGATCAATATCAGCGTTTGTCATTCTACTTAGTCCTCCTCAGTAATGAAACAGATTTTTTCCTTATAAAAGTTATCTTTTCCCGTCTTAGTTAAGGTCCCTTCAATGCCTATCTTGTCTCTATTTAACCACCCAATGAAGCAATTCATTTATACAAAAATAATTCTTAATATGAGAGCTGTAATGGTGTGTTTTTCCTTTCCCTCAATGAACTTAATTTTAGAGAAAGGTGTTCTGAGTTGAATTTCTTACCTTTTTACTTTCTTCCTGAAATTCAGGAATTTCTGTAAAAGGTAAAAATATGAAAAGAATCGTTAAGATGTTTGTAGTTCCACAGACACCAATCTGGAAAAAGACTTTCTCGTTTGCTTTGTAACTGCAACAGCATTTTACTTTTTTTAAGATGCCCCTTTTGATATATATCACACATAAGAAGAAAAAATCCAACAGAGGTCAGTACATGCTAATTGTGGTTACATATGTGGGTGCTAATGGCACCGAAAAAATTTATCAAAATTCTGTTGGATGTTCAAAAGTTACTCGGAATTGCGTTGTTTTTACTGCGCTTCCCTATATGATTTGCCCAGAGAAATTCGCATCACCCTCTTAACAAATAAAATGCAAATCAAAGCCAGTCATGATTATTTAATTTTCTTTTACCTGTAATTCGGAAAATTTGTGTTTTTTTTCCAAGAAACTCACTTGAAAAGTGCCAAAAATGAGTAACGTAAAGATAAGCTGCTTTTTTTCGGCTATGAAAACAAATTTATCATCTTGGCCAACGTATGATCTATAACAAGTTATGTTTTGCCACATCGGACTCTTTCTCTGACACAGAGAAGAGTCCACCATTTCAAACAACATGCGACGTGATTTAATTAAAATTTCATACCTCTGATCATTCCCATGTCGTCATCGTCATCAAAATCACGGAGCTGGTTTTTAGCAAACAATCTGGATTTCCTTCTTCCTGTTCTCGATTGCCTTCGATCGTATCCCAGCCGTTTCAGATACATGGCAGGTACCAATCCTTCTCTTCCGAGGTATCTGTCAATAAATGACCGCCGGTATAATTATTGATAATCCGGGAGACGCAGGGGGCACAATTTAGCTTATTAACTTGTTGTGTTCCGTAGCGAAATGGTGTATAAATTGGAGAGTCCTAAGGAAGCCTGATGAAAATTGTGGGGAGACGAGGGAGGGGCATCCCATCCAGGCAGGTAACAATTGGGATAACCTCCGGCAGCGATAGCGATGTTCTGCACAAAGTGAAGTTATAACTTTCGTAATGCTAGAGATGTGTTAAACGGTGCCGTTCTTAAGGGGAATTCTTTCGTAAAGGTCAACTGCCTGCTGGTTAATTCCAAAAACATCACAAGTTGAATCAAAATTTCCTTTTCCCTTGTTACTTTCAAAGGAAGAACGGCAATACGACGTAGATTTTCTAGCTCAGACGATGACCCATAACTGGTAACCTTGCCCACAGCTCGAAAGCTGCTGGGTATAGCTAGTGGCCTGCATCGCCAAGCGCTGATCGTTGGGCCCTAAGTTTGCTTCTGGATTACACTTTGATAAGTTATTTTTTTGGATATTGCACAAAGCGCGAGAGATGTAATTAAAGCTTTTCTTGGAACTTACGAGGCTCTCCACCATCCATCGTAGTTTTTCTCCAGGATTTGCAGGTTTACTCCTATTTCAAAACTCAGTTCATCATCTTCAGAGGCAACATAACGCTTAGCTGTCACATAGAATTCACCTACAGAAACATATCTGCATTAGTTGACGAGAAGATAATTAATTTTTGTCCATGACATACTTTATCAATACCTAGCATTGTCTAATTTCAGTAACTTTTAACTTACGATACGAGATTGAGATCTAACTGACGTTAAACTGATCTTACCTCTTCCAACTTGAAATGTCTGTATATTGCCATATTCCGTCATTTCGTCCGCGGGCTCAAGATACAAAGCTGGAGCCCAGCCCACTTCCCCTTCAGACTCGACCAACCACCAGCCTGTGCGAGTAATTGACGAGGTTAAGTCCATCTTCCCACCCTAATTGTAAACTAACAGTATTTCTGAGACCCCAAAAGTCTCCTTGTTTTACATCTCGGATGACTTGAGCTTCCCGCCTAGTCCAAGAGGTTATTTTCCCTTAAGCGTCGCTTCAAGGCGTTTCTTTAAAGTGTGAAACATGCCCCAGGTCATATTTTGCTTCTCTAAAAATCTTCTGTGCTATGTTTTAAAAGGTAAATCGTTGCTCTTTCCTCAAATAAACGTAAAAAGTCCATTTGCGTGACAAACGATAGGACGCCTTATCTGCTAGTATCAGTTGTTTGTTCGTTTCTTTGTTTGTTTGTTTGTTTGTTTGTTTTTTTCGTTTCTCCTGATTTACCAATAAATTGAAACCGTTTTATTACTTCCCCTAAAAGGCCTGAGGGAATGGGTCGTCATGTAAGCTACAAAAATTGGTAAGTTACTTGAATATCCGTCGTTTATTTAGTATTTTGTTTTGTTTGTGTGTATGTACTCACCACATTCTCTCTTCTCGATGACATCAACGACTTTTCCTTTCTTCAGGTTAATATCGCTCTTAGCTATCTTCCTGTAATCATCCATCACCACAAAGTGCTCCAATATTATAGGTGAACTTATCTTGTTTCCCCCTGAAAAGAAAATCAGATATAATTCAATAAACTCACAGATAAAAAAAAACACTCGATAATATAACCGGCAAATTATACTCCTTTTATCACAACTACTGGACGAAGTTTCGTTCTATCACTGAGATAGAGATAACTCGAGAGGGGCTGGGCCATTTCTAAGTTTACACATTTTCGTGTGAGATCATTCGACCTAGATGATTGAAAATACAGATAAGCGTCATCATCGTGAGGGTAACATAAGATTTGGTTCCAGCAATTGAGGGTCTTTGCGTGTATTTGAGAAACCTCCTTTTAAACTATGGGCGCATAATATGTTTAAATAATTAATTCAGATTACTACCAGAGCAACTTCTTGTATTCACCACGCTGTTTTATTCTTCAGAAGAATTCAAGAAACTGCATGACAGTCCAAACTCTATCAACTCAGCTTTACCATCTCCTTATAGGGAATGATTCCAGCGAAAATATAGTATGACTCTCATCACAGGTACAAGCATCACTATGATGACCTGGCCGGTTTTTCTCAAGTACAACAAAATGATTTATGCTTGAATTGATTTTTCATGTTATGGACAGAACAAAACTGCGTGGCATTCACTCCAAACACTATCAACTCAGCTTTACCATCTCCTCGTTCTCATCACTCTCATCACATGATTACCTGAGCGGTTATTCTCATGCGCCACAGAATGATTTATGCTCGAATTATTTTTTTCATGCGATGGATAGAACAAAACATCACTTACAAATCTTAGTCTTCTTCGTAAACCTTCCTCTTACAGTCTGTGTGAAATTACTGCCTCTTCTACCACGGTTCCCCTTCTTGAGTTTTACTTTTCTGAGTGTTATGGAGAAAGAAGATACAAAATAAGGTTTTCACTATTTTCCCCACTCAAAAGAAGTAAACTGAAATGTTCTTTATGATATCGTTGTACACAATACTGTACATTTGTCAAGCCTATGTTTATTAGGCCAACATGAGGATCTTCTTCACCACGAGGGTTTGAATTTTTCTTTGCATTCCATTTGCCTCACAAATGTTTTGCCTCTTTAAATTTTCTTTGGAGTTTTATGATATCATACGAAAGATAACTCCATAATAACTTTGCCCAAAAGCTATTTTATAAGAAAACACCTCACCGAGGCTGTGATATCGGTTCAAGATCCTCTTGCGTGGGAGTTAGAAATTTTCTAACGTGCTGTGATTGTGCCACTTGGAAATCCATCGCAAGAATATCCTGATGAGAGAATAGCATTTATTGTTCCTTGTACCGAGGCAAAAAAACACCATCAACGAAACAGGATCCAAAATGCGTTTTGGCGAACAAAGTAAGGAAATTAGGCCTGTCGTGAATTTCAATGGCTCCAGGTTACTCTCCAGTGTGGTCTTAGGGATTGAGCAGTTTATCGCCCAGGAGGTGGGGGGGTGGCGGCGGCTGGATTATATTGCTGATCCCCCGTCATTGGCAGTCAATTTGCTATGGTCCACCCTTTATAGTCTGTTGACGACGACGACTTATCACCCCCTGTTCCCCCTGAAAACCACGTGATCCCCTCCTTCCCCCCCCCCCCACCAGGAAATTCATTAAAAATTATCTACCTTGAGGAAGAAGCTCACTAGCTCCATTCTTGTAAATATTGATTCACCGACAGTAATCTTTGATGCGAATGAATCTAAAATAGGCAAGAACAAGCTAAATGTAGATTCTAAATATTATGGCGGTTAAGGCCTAAATTCCATATGACCGCAGGGATCTTCCAGATTTTCCTAAATTTGGACGACTATTCCAAAAATCCGTGTGATCAGGCTTACTTTGATATATACGTTATCTACGTTATCTATCTCAATACGTTATCTGGCAAAAAGGCCATGAGGACGGAAGGATTTATCATCCACCTAAGGTTTTAATCGTATACAAGACCAAATTCTTCTGTCTGTTTTACGAGAAAATGAATTGGACTTAGTAAGAATAATTTCTCATTGTATCTTGGGAGTTGAATGGTTAAGCACTTATGCAGAAGATGTGATCGTCCCGACTATTTAGGTCATTGGTAGTCTAGGCCCGAGCATCCTTTGGGTCCAGATAAGTAGCAAAAGAGACTTTTGTGAGGAAAAAAAGCTTTAGGGAAAAAAGCAGACTGAGCAAATTTATAACAACTTAGAAAAGAAATGGTCTTTTGACAAATAGATTGAATTCAGTCCTCGAGCAATTATTTAAATTGCGATTGAAAAAGGAACTAAATAGAATGGAAGATAATGAGGTTTACTGTCTCACCAGGCAGTGGAGTGAAGTTTCGTCTCTTAGCACTTTTTTTGCCAAATGAGCCGGGAAAGGCTTGGAATAGCATTGCCTATAACACCAAAAAAAGACAAAAATTCACTTAATAAATCAAAATTAGCAAAAAATAAAACTACTATTTAAGGTCCATCCTAAACATAGGCGCTCGCAAATATTGGACAAAAGAGTTACCAGGGACGAAATTTCTCGAACGCAAATTTTCAAGAATTGATTAAAGGTTGTTGTGTCTGTGTTTTAGGTAATTGTACAATAATGCGGAAATATCTGCATTTTTATGGACGGGAGATATTTTCAATTTTATGTTGGATCTTTGAAAAGAATCAGAAGGAAAGAAAGCAGAGCAGGTTAGTAGACAATTTTTTTTCTGCTCGCGTTTGCGGAAGTCCCATCTTTGGCTACCTAGAATCATGGACTAAATGTAAATAGAGTTTATTTCGGTACGGAACATTAGAGGAACATTTTAATACCAAAAATAAATAATTTGTAGGTTAAGAAACGGAGAAACTACTAAAACATCAAGAAACAACGTATTTTTTAACGTAAAGGAAATTGGCGGGGCATCATTGGTCATCAATTGTATTTTCCGAGCTGCATTCCAACCTTAAAAGAGGTGTTTGACAATTAAAAAGTTTAACAAAATATAACAAAGGGGTCTGACATGTTTAGGTCGGTGACGTTGGGAGTTATGATGTCAGCACAGCAACAACGTCATTAGGTCAAATATATCTGATTTTTTTCAACTTGCGCACGTCTCAAAGAAAGTTGTTATGATTGTTTTTCAAATTTTTTTTGATTCAGTGACAAGTAAATCTATTGAGTTGTTTGGCGTTCCTTCAGTTATTTATTGGACGAATCTTTTCTTTATTTATCGTAAACACTGTTCGTTGCTCAGGAAGCTTTGCAAAATAACGTGATCTGAATTGTCATCGACTATTCCTCTCCAAAACTCTTGCTGTTATTGAATTCCTTAAAGTTAGCTTTGCGATTTTATCCTACGATACGGCCGATTGAATGACAGAAGGCGATTTCTTTGTTTTAAAGTTACACGCGAGCGGGCGTAAAAGGCTTGTTGTGAAAGATCAATATTGCCCGCCTCGTTCACGCAAGAAAAAATATCACTTGAAACAGACTTTTGGCATATACTGAGCAAATTCTTTCTCAATCAAGTTGGTTCAGTAGAGTGGTTAGATATTGCCTCGTACTTCAATAGAGTACTTTGTTTCACTTTTTTCATCCTCTACAGCGTCATGGTTGTCTATAATTCTAGTGAGGAACTTAGTGGATGCAAAGCGATCTTAAGTTAGCGCTCAGGTCAAAGACGCATACGCGTGAGTTGTTATTCACGCTTTTTCTTCGATTCAAAACAGCTCGTATGCCCATCAAAGTTTCTATGAAAGATCCAAGTGCCTCTCTCTTGAGTTGAACTGACATTTTTTAAATCAGTTCCTCAAGAAAATAAGGAGAAATTTCGAGAGAGTCTTTCTAGTTTTTTCATTACTGTCGTGATTATTTCCTTGGCTGTCGGTTGCTTCATTAATGAGATAAACTTATCAGGAGTACAATATTACAAATATTTCACATTTGATCGTATCGTAATTTCCTTTCATTGATTCTCTCTAAGATATTACCCATAGACAGTTTTCTTAAAGAAATGAAAAGACAGAAAAGAAGAGTCCATGCATAGCCAAGTTGATGGAACACGATCTTCGTGCTGTCGAAAGATGTTCTATAAAATTTCTGCTTCCTGTCAACGATTCAACTTTGAGGCCAAACTTGTTGGAGATAAAAAAGTTTTAGCAATCTTTCTCGTTCGTCAGTAGTTAACAAAGTATGACGTACTTTGCAGTGCGTGACTCTCGAGAATCAATATTGTCTCTCTGCCTAGTTAATGGGTCACGATAGCTTTAAAGAAATACGGTTAGTATCAAAAGAAAAGATTCACATTGGAAGAAAACTGCTGAGCCGAGCAAAAGTGAACTGCACAATGAATATTCAAGACTGAATTAGATAACGGTCAAATTTCACTTTAATTTTGATTTTTTGATCTTTAATTTTTTCCTTTTCTTTTCTTTTAATGATGAGGTGCCCTCAAACATAGAATAAGTTAACATTTAAAAAGAAATGTTTTGGAGGCAAGTCTTTGATCTATTGATATGCGATGGCTTGCATCAAACCACGAAAAAAAATTTAACTGAATTGCCTCATTCACTACTACATAAAAATTTACTAAAAATTAGACTCACTATGGAAGAGATCCCCAGATTTCTAGGGCTTCATTGCTTTAAGACACGAAAGTACATCCATAATGGTTCTAAAACACATCTTTTTTCAAGCCTTGAGCAGAATAAACTCAAAGTTGAAGGCCAAAACCGAAGGATCCAAGTTTTTAAAGCTTTCCCTTTCATTAGCCATGTTTTTGGTACATTATGAGCCTAAGTTCATATAGTAGGAATTTCCTTAAATTTGAGAGTCCAAGGAAACTTAATTGACCCCCAATTTAAGATTTTCCAATTATCATTCCAATTATCTCTTTCCCAATTCGTTGGAAACTTATTAATCGCTCAATATTTTAAGTGAAAATGTATGGTTCAGCAGGTGGAAATTTAAAAATAACATTCTTTCCACTGTTGAAAATTCAAAGGATCAACCATAAAGGGAAGATATTGTCTCCATTTCAAAACAAATTACCATTCTTATAGGAGTAAATACATGCACTAATCAATTAACATGTTTTGTGCGAACAAACCAACAAACCTGTAGGTGTAGAAATTCGCTATATCTGCGATATACCAAGTTGACTGTGCCATCCGACCATGAAACTTTCACACAAAAAATCTGTAAGAACGGATGAAAACGAACAGGATAAGTTTGGAAGTATTAGAAAGAGGGACAGGCCACTGAGGTCTTTCTTAGTCATTAAATAAAGAGTTGCAACACGTCTAACGCTATTGCGATTAAAGAGATGCAAATATGAAACCATTTATGTTATAGTTTTGTAAGTCTATTGAAATGATAGTATTGTCGTACCAATTGAAGGCCAAGACCGTCACATTTGATAACATACACTTGCAGTCGTATTGATGCAATTTGTTTTAGCTCTTTAAACAGTTCTAATATATTTTTTCCCTTCGGTGTTTTAAAGCCACAAATATTCTAAAGAGGGTATTTTTTGGTATAGTCTATCAATGAAACTGAATTCGAGGAACCTCAGCGGAAGAAGGTCCTCTGAAAATCTACTTATCACAAGTCACTAACACCTCGATACTTTCTAATTAATAACTTTAAATGTTACCCGGTAGACTTCCAGGCGAGTCCATTAACAGAATAGATTTTGACTTTTGATTTTAATGAGAATACTCCCAAATACATTCTTTTTAAAATCCACTTATAAACACTTTTAGATTTACATTCTCGATACTAAGCTAGTAGTATTGAAATTACACTAATTTTACCGATTAAGGTGTTTCTCAAGGTACAACCTGATCAGCACTGCTATAATTTTTCAATCGCGTGCATATAAAAATGGCCTAACTTCGAGCCAACTACAGTTATTTGATACTTCACAAACGCTAAAAGCTATCTTGAGAACGATTATTAAAATTAATTTTCTCAAGCATTGAACACGTTGTCATGTTATGCAACAAATCCGTTAAATATTTGTTAGGAAAAAAAATAATACTGAGCGGAACTAGCCACTTTTCCTTTGCCTGAAAAAAGCAGCTACACGCTGTAAGCTGTAGTTGGTGAATTCTCGGGAGGAGAGAAATGTTGCTAGCTTCTCACTTACACAAACATGATCACAAATTTGCATACCTGTTACATCTGTTTCAAGGTTCAAATTTGGCAGAGTATCAAACCAAAGAGTAGCAAGGGTTAGTTATGTACTTCAGCAACATATAGAGATCGTGGCAAGCAATTATTTACCTTTTTAGGAATTTATGTTTTTCTGAGCTACACGGATGAGTTGACAAATAAAGCACCAAAAAAACACTTTTTCGCAACTACCACTCATCACTCGAATCACGCAAAGATTGTTAAACACAAATTCCCTCACTGCCGAATTTCTGATCTAAAACTTTCAACACATTGATATTTACGTATCTGGTTTTAATCTACTGACTGTCAAAAACAGATTATTTCGTTACAGACATCGCTCAGTCAAGATATGCTAATAAGTGAAAACTTACGAAGTGTTTTTTTGGTTTGGTTCGTCGCTGCACTCCTTCAACAGATGCCTCTTTCACCGTTCGATTCTCCATCGTAAACCTTAAACTGTTCACGATGTTTTTAGTTCTTCCAAGTACAAAAAGTAACGCCTAATCTCTTCTGTCGCAGGCTCCAAGGCCACTACAATAACGAACAACAATGAAGAAAATGAATTAGCATTTTGCGCCTTCGCCCTAAGAAGCCCACTATTGTCGCATATATTCAATGCTTCACCTGTCAAGTAGAATAGGAAACGTAATCCTTAGCAGCGACGTAAGCTTTGAGGCGAATATTAAAGTGGTCAAACAAAAGTTCATGATCGGTATGAATGTCGAATGTAGCAGACTTCGATGCAAGAACCCGCTGTTTCAAGGAAAACGAATAAAAGATCACATTTTTTCCCCCAGAACTTGAAGACATTTCCTTAGGCAAATATTAGGGAGTTATCTATTCCTTAAAATTTGGAGGCCCATTTGCTTCGCACAGAGCCTGAGGTGATTATTCTAAACAGACTGCATTCGTACTAAAGTTTGTACAGTTCTCGTTCATGTCCACATTTCCAAACTCCAGTATACTGAAGAAGAGGCCTTGCTGTTTTGTATTTGCCCATAATAATGAAGTCATGTTGACTCCCAACCGTCGAGCAATATAACTTTCTTAGAACATTTTTGATGTATCCCAGTTTCTTAATTACTAATTGAAAAACAAATTCTGCCCGTCTCACGAGATTCATGTTGTTTTAGAGAAAGCACGACTTTAGTCTCTGCTTGCAGAAGTCATGAATAAATATAAAAGATATAGTTTAACATTCACACATAGATATCAGGCACGCTCTCTCAGAGCGAGCTGAAAAGCAACACTTCAAATATGTGTATTCTCTTACATACTCGAGTGTGGGTCAATAATGGCTGTTAATAACTCTGGTGCAAGGAGTGAATATTCTATAAAATGTAATTACTGCAGTATTTTGTTCTTGCCTAAATGATCGAAAAATCCGTCGCAAAATGTACTGTAATAAAAAACAAACGGGCACATCTGATATGAAAAATTTCACTTAAAAAAGCAATACTACGGTTATAGCTATGACGCTCCAAAGGATTCTAAGCGATTGTACATCATCCGATGAAAGTGCAACAAAGAATATTCAATGACGCATGAATGCGGTCAAATGTCAGAGAGCCCCTAAGTATCACCCTTTGTTTCGATATTCCTCTTTCTAAAAATAATATTTTTGTTTAGACGCAAATTCGGTTGGAATAAGTACAGTTTCAGATCTGTGTGTTGTATTTTTGAAATGGATCCAAGCTTTTCTGTGTAAAAAGCAATCGATGAAGTATCGGACCTCGATGTTGTTCTTAAGTCCTAAAGGTTTTCCGCCAGAACCGCCCATAATTTCACTCTTAATATTTCACATGGAATATGCATGTCGTACGTATTTCAAATGCTTTGTAAATTTTTCTAAGGTTCCTGCGATTTAGAACATCGTGTTCTTCGCCAGGTTTACATAGCGTAGGAGGAAGCCCAAAAGGCAAATCAAGATAATTTGTGTCCACCTCTCTCTCGTTGAAACGCCAACGCAACGATCAGTAATAGCAAAACAAACGTTCGTGTTCCCGTATTGCAGCGAGGCACCAATGTACAACCGCACCCTTCTTGAAATATCTTGGCCACGCTCCTGAGAGGCTGAAAGAGGATGATGCTTCTTGTTTCCCACGCCTGTTTGCGCATGTACCTTTTACCCGCAAGTATATTATCTCAAGTGTTGTGTGTAAGCAGGACTAAGAAGTAAGTAGGTCCCTTAGGAGCCCGTTAAGCTTCCTAATTCTTCAACTTATTGTTCTTACTCTAAAACCTTTTTTGTAGTTCCTGATTTTGTTGTTGTTGTTTTTAATGTTTCATCAAGCAGAATCAGATGGATGTTTATTAAATTTGAATAATGTAAATTAATCAACACTTAAAACCCTTTTAATAGTAGAAGGCCGATTACGGTGTAAAATACTGAAAGGAGCCGAAAGAAAGAGCACGAGCCCATTTTTTCGGAATACATGCTTTCTGCGATTGGTGCATGGCGATGGATTTATTTATTGAAACTCAATTAAGCATTTCATAGATAAGTCTGCTATATAGAATGAATATATTAAAAAAAGACGATGCTAATAATAATGATAGTTTATGGACTTATATTATGCAATTATCAATATATAAAACTTCAAACGAGCATGACAGTGCTGAAAATTGAACTATACCTTAATATTAAAGCTACAAATTAAAAAACTGACTTTAAAATTGATTTATAAAATTGACTTTAAAGATGTTGGTATCCATTTCAACTTTAAAATGCAATTGAATTATTTACAAAGTATTACAGAAAAGAAGGATGAAAACACGAGGAAAGCACTTGAAACTTCTTTTATCTTCAGTCCATTCCTCATTGAATTTTGACTGAGGGAGAGCTAAACGTTGCAATGGCACTGATTTTCTTTTTCTCCATTCGTTTTTAGCCTGCAAGACCTTCATCATTAGCGGAGCACCACACCCGTTTCTCCACCCGCGGAAAGATTTGAGACGATTTATAGAGAGGTTTGCTAAGGGTCTGGATAATTTTCAGTGTTAGACCGCTTGCAAACCTATCGCTGGCTCGTGTCGCTTAAGGCCTCATGTTTCCCACCGGCGAAGACACACTCGTTCCGAAACGCTAATAATGAGAGCTTGTTCGCAAGATACACATTGAAAAGAAGAATCTCCACAAAAATATTGAGTCGCTTCCAGTGAATTAATCGGCCAATATTGGCATTACCAAGCCCAAGTTTTTTTACCACAGCGCATGATCGGCTCAAGAAAATTAGACGGTGCCCAGCCTAGTTCATCGTGAATTTCCACGAGCCACCATCCACCTTTACTTTTACGTATTACCTGTACTATGTCTCCCTCGAACAGATCAATCATACTATCTGTTGTGGCCTGGTAGCTAGCAGTCGCTTGGTAAATTTGTCTTCTGTTCCATTTATAATGGCTATTTGAGGCATTGTAAACAACTGAATTTCTGGGGTTTAAACGTTTTCTACCCTTTCTGTCCTGTGATGTGTACGTGTTAAATGCCGAAAGATCGTCACTGGAGGAATTTTCGTTAGCCATGTGGTTTCCCATCACTGAAAACACCTCGTCATCTGTAGATTCATAGGCGTAGGGTCTGTTTGAAGGTCTGCCTCTGGTTCTAAATTTGGAGTAACTTTTCATGTTGTACTCGTTGTCCTGTGAACATGAGCGCCTGGAGGCCGTTGAGTTAGGGTAATGACCCTCTCTGGCAGAAGGCAGAAAGGCCGAATCCACGGAATTTCTCATGTTTCTGATAACACTGATTCCATCTTCCTCTAGAAATCCAGAATCATACGAAGACACATTTCGTCTCACTGTGTCGTTTTCGTGGTGGAAATAAGGCATCCTTGGGGAAGGACCAACACAACCCATTGCCTTAAACCTTTGGCTCCACCTCTGTGATCGACCAATTGAGTCCTTCTGAAAATTTCTCGAGATGGCCACCCTTTCTGCCCCAGTTTGACTGCGATTTCTTTTTCTTTCATACGTGAGTGACTCTGACTCATCACTGGAGGAGCTATCTGTGCTGCTCTTCGGCCGGGCTCTCGGTGACGGTCTGGTGGTAGCGCAGTTCTCATCGAAAGCGCCCAATGAACACCTGCTTTTATGGTCCAGCATAGGCAGTCGTATCGCAGCTTCCCTCTTTTGATGATAAACCTTCGACGAAAAGTGATCAAAAATTAATATAAGCAGGATTTTGCTAAAGAGTCATATCTTGTTGCTATTAGGTTCATTTGTTTGTAACAAAATGGTATATAAAATGAATGGAATTACTAATATCAAATTGTGTGAGTTGCAAAATACTTTCAGGTTACACCATCTCTACAGTAGCACCAATTTTGACTGCCATGTGGTTTGTAGACATTCAAATACCATTAGATTTACCAGTATGTATCAATTGTGAATGTGGCTCTTTCAATCGATTTAATTGTCAAATTTCTTCTTTGTCTCCATCTAATCTTATCCCATAAAGCCACCTGCTGCCTCCCAAAACTATTATGAAAATTTTCAGAATAAGCTATAACACGCGTAAATTCCTACCGCTTTAATAGCAAAAATTGTTATAAACACATACTTACATTCGTGTGCGGTGTTGGTCGTGGAACTGGATGAATCCAAACTTTAGATTTACCTATTGCAAGTAGAAGCAGAAGTATTGCATCCCATTTATGACATTATCCCACAGGAAACCATCTACCTATTTAGGTTCAATTTCCATGAGTATGATACTATATATCACAAATTCAGCATTTAGCCTGTTGCCTACCTGTTCTTCTATCTATTCTTCGGAGAAACCTACATCCCTCTAGGTCCTCATTGCCAATTTCATGGAAGACTGGGGCCGAGGAATAAACCGCACAAAACGAAGCTTAAAGCTAAAATACACTTGGTCAATGAGAAACGGCATCTGTTTCTTCGGAGCAAATCTATCAACAGTTTATCTTTTATCTGAAAAGGTATCGGTACTGGGTTCAAACTTACCCTCATCCCAGGTTTCATTTCTTCCCGCATCATCCTCGTCGTCTTCGTCTTCGTCTCCATCATCGTTTTCCTTGTCCACGTCTGATTCGACACTATGTTGACCGTCTTCTTCTTCCTCCTCAGGTTGCTCTGCTGGTAGCAGAAAGTTTGACGGAAACCATCCTACTCTATCATCGATTCGGACCATCCACCAACCACTAGAATCTTCAGCGAGAACCTCAACTTTATCTCCTTCCAATCCTGTTACTTCGCCAATTCCACTTGCTTCATAGGTTGCAACAGCATAGTATGTGGCGTCATCTGTCTCACTGGAGTTATATGTCCGAAACGGTTCTTGTTTCTTCTTTAGTGGCACTTTATAAACAAGCCTCTGCCTCTTCTCCTCTTCATTCGTATCCCGATTCTCTTCACTATGTTGCAATTGTTCTCTTTGTCTGTGGTTTTCCTGTTGGAGTTGTTCTTGAAACCACTTCGTGGTAACATGAGAAACTTCCGTCTCTTCCTCATTAGTCTGCGAAATTTGTCTCTCTTCGAGCTTTCGGTCTTCTGTTATCTCTTTACCTTGTCGTAAAAGAACTGAGCTAATATTTGGGAGCCCGCTTCCTTCAGAAGACTCGTTCTCTGCTAAGTTGGAGCTTTGAGAGACAAGTGG